AGACGCAACCACTGATGAGGTGATACTGAAAATTGAGAAGGAATTTAACAAACAATTACTAGCCATGAACGAAAGAGACGAGATAAAAGATCAGTTATTTTCCAAGACGAGGTCAACAGGGGGGTAACTTGCCCGTTTGTACGGTTTAGCTTAGGTACACAAGGATGAGACACCCCTACGACCAGTACTATAACTTTCAGTCAACTCGTATGAGAATTTTAACGAAATGCTTGCAAAGTTTTTTGACAACATCGATGGAGCAAATATAGAAACCAATACTTAAGAGGCTAGAGAAACAATTGAAAAAATTGCTCTAGATCCGGATGAAACCATAATATCTCTTGATGTGAAAAAATTGTACACCAACGTTCCCCTGAAGGAGGCAATTGAAATTGCTTTACAGAAGCTATACAGCCAAGAGTCTCCTCCTGAAATTCAAAGAGCAACCATGAAAAGGCTTTTGAATATGGCGGTCAGCAAAGTATATTTCAAGTGTAATGATTCATGGTATGTACAAGTTGATGGTTTAGCAATGGGCGCGTCCCTCGCTGTAATTCTGGCAAACTTATGGCTGAAAGAGTACGAGTTTGCTCTCAGAAAAGAAATACCGGTGGGAACGGAGGTACAGCAAATTAATGACAAAACGGCTTGTGCCCATGTTGCAGCTGGAAAGTCACATATAGATCAAAGGGGGTTGAATGCGAGAGTTGACGAAACTGGTATCATCTAAAATGCGGAAAAATATCCCTTTTTGTATACGCATCAATAACCGAGATGGTCTGGTACTGTGAAAGCTGCTGCCGAGCTAAGAACAAGGTGAATGATATTCCCCAGGTGAAACTGTTCCTCAGCTATGTGGATGACATTGTTAGAACAGTCAGAGGGGAGCCGTGTTGTCTTCTCGATGCCGCCAATTCTCTTCATCCAAATTTGCAGTTCACTGTAGAGAAAACTAATTTGGAGGGAATTTTGCCGTTCCTGGATTTGAACATAAATGTATCGCAGGGTAGGCGTGTAACTTGCAGTTGGTATCAGAAACCAACAGATACAGGGACTATACTGAACTATAGATGCTGCGCCCCAACTCAGTATAGGCGTAATGTTATCCAAGGCACTGTACACAGGGTTTTAAGGAGTACATCTAGCTGGGAGCAATTTGATAAGGCAATGGAAACTAATAGGGCGCAATGGCTGACAAATCAGTACCCTAAAAGTTGGTCCACAAAGGTGGCTTTAGACGCCTTGTGCAAGATCATCGAGGGTAAGGGCAAGCCCTTGGATAGTGAGAGGTGTTTGTCAGTTCAACATTTGACCACTAGAATTGACTGGAACATAAGAAAGCAGACTCACCGGTAGGCCTCCACCTTCAGCAATGCCAAATTGAGGGAAATAGCGCAGATCTTAGTTGGGAAATTATAGATAGGTCAAACAACCAAACAAAATTGCTAACACTAGAGGCAATACATATCAGGAAAGAGAAAGCGGGCTGGAACACGCGCGATGAGTTTAGGGCAGGGAGTTAACACTGAAAATTTAGTCCCAAATATTTTTGGTTTTTTATTAAAAACGTACATGTCTAAATCAAAATTATGACTCAGAAACTTCCAGACAAATTAATTTTTAAATGTTTAACTATTTTTAGAGTTTAAAAGTATTTTAATCTTAATAAAAATTTAGAGGTCAACTGTGATTGGCTAATTTTTTATCATGATAGTTTAGAACCAAATTGTATGGTATTTATTGTAAATAACATTTGTAAATTGATGTTTTATCGTCATTTAGATTAGTTTATTGTAAAAATCCTGACGATGCACATAGTTGCGAAAACGTTTGAAATTTACTTTTTAGCAAAATTATCGATAACATCTTAAAATTATGAATTTCGTTCGTGAATTGCTGTCAATTTTATGTGAAAACTATTTTGTTTTGGAGCGATACCGAGAAGAAAGTAGAAATTTATTTGAGTTAATTTTTAATATAAAAAATTATGACGTCACGCGGAGGGTTTTTGTGTGCTTAACAAGCGTCATCAATTAAAATGCCCATTTTTGTCTTCTCTATTTCCGACCAATTTACTTGAATTACTAGTCAGGAAATTGGGATGAGTAAAAACAATATTAAAAAAATTGTTGGCTTCGTTTTTCTGTTTTTTCCTTCTGTCTTTATTTTTTCTTTTTTTTTCTGCTGGTCTTTTTGTCTCATTTTTTCTCTTTTCCTATGTGCTTTTTCCGGTTTTTTGTTTTGGTGTTTTTTGTTTGTTTGTTACGGGGGTAATCGTTAAGTCAAAAGAATCATAGTAACCAAGGTTACAATCAGAATTCCCTTCATCACATATTTCAGTTAAAAGCGTGGGAATTGTCTAGATATGGAAGAAAAAATAAAACGTGGAAAGAAGTAAAGAGAGTCAGATGGTTCGGAATCAAGCCAACCAATTTTCAAAAATTTAAACCCACAGAATAATCCGGAGATCAAAAAAATTCTAAAAGATTGAGCTGATGTGAGTCTACGGCTCTATTAGATGTGAGGCTACTAAGCTGCGCTTTTGTTCCTTTGGCTGTATAAATAAAATTTTTCTTCGAAAGAAGTTTTATCAATTAGCCGATGAGTTCACAGGCTGCATTCGCAACTGTGTTGCGAGGGAGAAAATTACCTGCCCTTGGTTCCTCGGTACATGCGCTGAAGTAGTTACAGATTCTACTCAGAAAAACCTCAGTGCTAGGACAGGCTTAATCGTGAACTTCAGAAACTGGTTGTTCGTAAATTCCTTTTTTTACGGTCTTCCAATTTGCTTGTCTAATTTCCTAGGCCCCATTTGTTACCTTTCATAAAGAATTTCTTAAAATTTGGTCGTATTTTTCCAACAAATTCTGACGATGCACATAGTTGAGAAAACGTACGCTAAAAATATAGTAGTTTCGGCATGCTAAAGCAATTTATTAGTAGGTAAAACCCATAATGTGCATCCAGCTTATCAATAACACCCAACATATTTTCCAGCTCAGCTATTTTTTCATTTAGCAGTTCTATGCGACAAGATTCGCCCATAATTTTTTTTGCCCAAGATTACAAGTTCATCCTCGGATTTGATTTTTGTTTTGACATACTTTCTGAAATTGACCTATCATTTTATTGTACTGCACTGTTGATCAACATTGAACAACATTTTTGGCACTGTTGAACAACATTTTATTTTTCCGCACTGTTCTACTTCGTCACTGTTGTACTGCCCCGTAGAGGCTAACTCCAATACTTTTTTGTGAGCTAAGTAGAAAGCCTCAACAGTTGAATACGTTTCAATTTAATGGCATTTTAGTCTCAGCTGATGCGTCACAGGATTTACTAAAACCTGAAAAAGTATACCTTATTGTACCTCAAGTAAGTAAAGGAGTCTGGTATCTTGTTGCGCATTCACGCGCTCTCTACTGAATTTTTGCTCATTGTATTTTCGGTCATTTTTTAAGACCATGGTTTCAAAAATAGTTAATACGGAGTAAGACAGGTGATCTTTTTCCTTTGTCGGTACTTTGCACCCTTTTCTTTTTCGACGCTGTTCTGGTTTTTTAGCTTAGAAAATATTTTTTTTGTTTAGGTTTTCTTGGTCTGTGTTCTATATTACATCCGCTATTTTAAGAGGTAGAGATTCTTTTAGATCAAGTCTTTGCTGCAGAGTTTGCAATTGCAGCAAACAAATGCACGTAGATGTTGTTAACGTCATCAATCGTTGTAGGTGCTCTCAGTTATTGTGACGTAATCTCATAAACCACGTCAGAAGCTTTTCAATGCCTTTTAATTCGCTCGATTAATAGTCTTGTATATCTTCAATAAATTATGGTTATTAACCGAAGTAATCTCATTTCTGAGACATAAACTATCAATTATTAGTTTATTGGATTAACCAATTAATTCCCTTCTAATTTTATTGTGCTTTCCATTACATTTTTTCTGCCTCATATAAGGTTAATTCAGTTCAGGTAAAAAAAATAGCGATAAGTCAATATAATAATGACATTCGAGCGTAATCATGAACTGCTTTCAACTTTTAGTTTTCTGGCCTTTGTCTAAAGCAGGTTGTCTCGATAAACAATATTTAGCCTTTTGTAAAAGATCCTCAACATGAGAGTATATATCCACGTCGTACTTTTTCGGGTTACTTTTAAAAAGTTGATAAAGCTAAGATTATAGAATTTTATTTCACGAGATCTACAGGCTAAATTCGATTAATTTTAAGAACCAGTTAACGACTTTTCCGACTAATATGGGAAGACCTTTGGCCCATTTAGTTTTTTTCAAATGGCAGTCTTTAATTCAAGTACTCCCGGTATTAAGTTGACTTGACGTAAGTATCATGTGATCATGTTGTTTACGTAGAAATTCATAAAGACAGCAGCTCTTTACGCAGCTCAATATTCCTTCTCTAAACTTATATTTTTTCCAGCTAAATTGTCTAATTTTGTTACGGATAACCAAAAAATTCGGTAGAAGGATCTGTGCTTTCTGAAAATATCATATTTATTTAAACTTGCGAGAGCAAGTGTCTTTTAATTGGGAAATACTTTTTTTACTGTAAGTAACTTAAAAAAAATTGAAGAGTTTGAGCTTGCTTACGTGTAAAAGAACGAATTGATTTTCACTTTTAAAGGTCTTGGAAGTTTTTTTTGAAGTCTTAAAATGCTGTAATAACTACAGAAGTGCATCAGTAGTAGTTTCGCAGCTGTTTTTTTTCATGCACTAGGGTATTAATTTACTAACAGAGGGCCGCCAGGCTCAAGGATTGTCAATTAGTTTCCCGAGTGCGTGAAAAAATATTTGCGAAAATGCATTAGTCAACGAAAAGTTTGTTTTCATGCTTGTTTTTCAAATGCTTAAACAGTATTTTCTGACTTTAAAAATGTTTTTAAACTACCTCTGCAGCCCACTTGGCAGCGGGCATGTAACGAATTGTTTCACACCAATTAAACGCACGCTACAGATTAACTAGTTTTGCCTATACAACATTTCACGTACTGATTTTTTCATGAACTGCGTATGAACGCACGCAAGTTGACTAATGTAAATTAATGCATTTAGGAATCACTCAGGCATTTATAGGCTTTTTGAGTTCAATTCAAGTTCATTTGCTCAAAGATAGGCAATTGCGCCTTTCATTTACTAAAGCGAAAATGGCTCGGAAAGAACGCGAGTGATTTCTAGTTAAGAAAATTGATTTTGATTTTTAGAGTTCCAGCGAAATAAAAATTTTACCCATTGATCCAGTTTGTTTTAAAATGAGGTATTTTTTATCAAAAAAAAGTTCCATCATATATAGATATGAAAATTCAAAGAGGATTAATCTGATATATATATTTTTTTTGAATCTCGAATGTTGAAATATTTTAAATTTCCGAACATTTTTTTTCGTTTTCCTTGTTCTTTGACATTTTTTGAAATTTTTGTTGGCTATGTTTCATAATGGAACCTCAACACAGTTGAGGCTAATTATCACTTGGTCTAGCTCAAGCGCCTGGCTTGAAATTCTTAAGTCGGGGGTTTGAATCGCGGCCTGACTTTGTTTTTTTTCGATAGGTATGAAATGAGCGTTTTTGTGAGTTTTCGGTGTATACTTTTTTCTTCGATATGTGGAAAAACGTTCTGTTACTTATAATTTTACGGAGCCCGGCATTGAATAAGTTCCGTTTTTTTCGCTTTTATGATTTCGGTTATATTGCTCAGTCACCTAATATGGTAGGATTTGAAGGCCAAAAATAGTTTTTTTTTATTCTTGATTGTTTCAGTAGGGTTGCTTTCTAAAAACTGTTGTATTTTACTACCTCGAAATTTTGATAACTTTTTAATGGCTTTTTTCGGCTGGACGGTTTTTGGCCGAACGATCTCCTCCAAGAAATTTTAGCTTCGTGTCTGCTCGGTAAACTATACAAAAGAATAAACTAACGCTGCTGGTTGTGTTTTCGAAATGTGTTTTTGCTGAAATGAACATCAGTCCAGACACACTGTTTTGCAGTTTTTTTTTCAAGAATTTGGTTGGAAAGTTCTATCTTACTTGCACGGCAAATAGATATCTGTGTTGAAATATGATCCTGGCGTTTCGTGACTTAATTCCAGTTCATCTTTTTGTCATAATATATTTTACAGGGTGTTGATTATGGGTCTTTGGGTTCGTTAAAAATACGGTCAGTATGAAAAATTGTTAACCGGTCAGTTAGTAACAGTTGATTAGCGATAATCTATGATGTGATTTTTTGGAGTTGAGGTGCTTTTGCCATGGTTTTTTTATTAGAATCACTCAAAGTTTTCCGAGCAAAATCAGGTGCCACGAAAAATCAGGCGTCGCAAATAGTTTGTTTTTGTATCACCAATTATCCAAGGATCGGATGGCAGCTGAATAATTCCCGATTTCATTCGTTTTCTTGAGAGACGCAACTAATGCGGTATCGTCAGCAAAAACTCTAATTTTACTTTCTTGGGCACTGACATTGATGTCATCTATGTAAAGCAGACAAATTAAAGGCTCAAGAACGGAACTGTGTGGCACACCACAATTCAATTTGCGGATACGTGATTCACCTTGATTATTAACCAAATACTGTTATCTGTTAGTCAAATAACTTCTCAGAAAAGACCTATTCTTCCCCTTAATCCATAATTTTCATGCTTTTACAGCAGAATGTCATGAATGACAGTGCCAAATGTGTTGCGTACATCGGTTAAAATTTTCATTGCAAAATTTTCTCTTCAATTTTTTTTCGCATTGATTCCATGATTAGTGTTATTGCATGAGCACATGAACGTATTTCTCTGAAACCGAACTGTTTTTCACCGAAATATTGCGTTTTTCAATAAAGGAAAGCTTTCGCTGATAAATTATTCTCTTCAACATTTTGAGTATTGTAAATAGAAGCAATAATTGACTAGCTAAAGTGCATCAGTGAAAAATTCCTGGTCAATACACTTGTTAAAGCATGATGCCAGATACTGGCTGATGACTGGTGCACACATTTTCAACATCTTGTTAGATATTCAGTCATGATCAGCAGAATTTTTTTAGATTTTAGTTCTTTTCAATTCAAAAAAATTTCCTTTTGATCAGTTTGTTCTTATACACGAGAAGAGCCAATATTGTTATAAGAATTTTTTGCGGGGTTCGAATCTGACACCAATGCTGTAAGTTTTGGTCCGATGGATACAAAGAAATCATTCTATTCATCACAATAGATCATTTTCGTATTTTATTCTACCTGTAAATCTGTCAAACACACCAAGCCTACCTCTTGCTGTATTAAATTCACTCATTTTTTATTTGTAATTTGGCTTTCAGTTTTTCCATTTTCGCATTTTTACGGAATCAACGAAAAACTGATGTTTTCAACGCTAGGATTCAGCAAAATTTTTGCATGTAGTTGATCGCGACCATGACATAAGTTTAATTTCTTTTTTGTGTTGGCTTCCGCTTATGTCTTGGGTTCCGAAAATATATTCAAAGAAACGTCTCTCAACATAAAATCAGTTCTGAAATGTTTGCTATTCAGACTCAAATTTTTGAAATTTAGTCGGTTCAGTGTCTATGATGATTTCATTTTGTTTTCTCGACATGGAAAATGATTTTCTGAAGCATATCATATTTTGGGGATTTATCTTTTTAAAAACCAGCCTCGCTTTATTATGGAACTTGAACATTTTCCAGGACTGTTCCTGCATGGTCGACTGGAAAAGCGAATTCTCTCGATCTTAAGATCTGGACGTTGAAGCATTGTCTGATTGTTTTTGCTATATTGCTGATTTTTTGGTTAACTATCTTAGTAGGGAATCTTTTTCTCATTTAAACAGTTTTAACATTAATCGAAAGTCGTTCTGTAACTTAAAAATTTACCAAGTCCGATTTTAGTAAGTTCCTCTTTTGTTGAACTGATTTTGGTCTTTTTTGTCAGTTTTTTTTTGCTGAAACGATTTAAGCCCAATTCGCTTGCGAGAGGTAATGGCTTGTAATCGGGTTGAAGAGTTTTTTCCTACGAACGATTTTGCTTACAAATCTGTAAGAAAATGAATTTGATTTTTGAGCTCAATTAACTTCCAGTATCCTTCTCACTGCCGTCCGGACCTTGTTTCTTTTATAATGTTTGAAATTGAATTTTCTGAAAGAAATGGATTTTTGTCGGACTTTTATTTGTGTGCTCAGTTTTTGCCGGCTAAGTTTCACAGGGATGGGAGTTTCTTCTAATTTAAACAATTTTTACTATCATTGTCAGTAGTTATTTAAAATTTTATCAGCTCGGATGTTGAATATGTGAGTTGGTTAATTTGATATGTTTTTTCATTTTTTAAATCAAGTTGTTTCAGCTTATTTGCCTTAAAATGATCAGGGGAATGGTTAGTGTTACATTTTAATCGTCTAAAGAAAACTTTTATGACAGCTACTTATGGCGTTTGTTTTTATTTTTTCGGCTCAATGGGGTTCTACCCAAGTTTTGTCGACTTGCAGCTGCTCAGTAAGTGAAAGTCTTTTTAAACTTGCATTGGTTGTGTTTCTCGACTGTTTTTCTGAAATTCATTTTTCTACATTTTTAAAATGTCAGTTTTTTTGGCGTTATGATTTCCGTGTCATTTTTGTTTGGCTGAGTGTCAAGATTGTCGGCCGAGTGGCGTTTCCTCATATGATACTGAATGCTTATTTAACGCATTTCGTTTTTGAAGTTCAACATCATTGTAGGTGTCGTTTTTTTTCTTCATTACAATATTTTTTTTTCAATTAGTGGTTTTTGTCTCATGTTCTTTTCGCTAGCTTGCTTTGCTTGCATTGTGTTTTCAGTGTTGCGAAGCTCGAATTTGCCGCTTTGTAAGTTAATTGCAATTGTGTGTGTGGCCGGAATAATCTATGCTCTCTGCACAGCAACCGGATGCAATTGCGTAAATTTTTCAAAAAAAACCTGGGGCGTTTCCAGGTAGTCTCACCTGTTGCAGGTCTTACCTCCAAGTTTCGCTCAAGTCATTTCAGTTTCTGAGATATGCCGTTTTTAATGGTTTTTCAAGAAAACTTGAGATCTAAAAAAGTTTTAACTTTAAAATACGCAGCACTATGGCGGTGAGCTTTGAAAGTACCACCAGGTCGTTTATCTGGACTTCAAATATGACTGCTCAACGCCTTTAATTTTCTTAAATATGAAGTTTTTACCTTTTTTGAAAATTTTCAAAAAGTGTTAAATTAAAAAATATATATACTTTTCGAAGTTTGATATTGTCGACCCTTTGGTGGGGGTGTTGTCAGGTTACTACCAGCGGATGCAGATGTGGCCTATCATCCTAATATCATGGCTCAAATTTTAAAAGTTTCGAAATTGGCGTTTTTAATGATATTTCAACACTTTTCATTAAACTTACAATTCAGCTAAGATTTTGATGGTTTTGTAAATGAAATTGTTTCAACGTTTTTTTTATTTGGAAAGTGCAGTTATATGCTGTTGGCTATTTTAGGGTTGTCGGAGTTAAAAATACGAAGATCTGAAACCCAGTAGTTTTGGAGATTTTACCATTTTAGTTTAAAAATTCTTTGAAGTTAAAATTAAAAAATTTTTTATCGTTCAAATTTTAAAATCAAAAGAGTTGTTGTATTCCCTTGTCTATTATTACGGTTGCATTTTTTCTTTGTTTTTTTTCACATATAATTTGTATAGAAACTAATTTCACGTTCACTTATCGGGTTGATGCACCGAAGTTTAAACTACTCGATGATAGTCATTGCATATGATCTCCATGTTTAATTGTCCTATGATAAACATTATTTTAGATTTTTTATTGTCTCACTAAAACCCTTACATCGCACTTTGCTGAAAAAGAAGAACGGAAAATTTAGTTAAATTATATCAAAGTATGATTTTTTAAAAATATCTTCACTTCATTAGTCGGAACATTTTATGCTAATTGCACAGCGAACGTCTATCGCTACTCTTTTTTAAATTGATTTCAAGGCCGAGACTAGCAAATCCTAGTATTCGAATCAATTTTTCGAGCGTTAATTGAGAGTGATTTGTGCCTTTGTTTAACTTCCTCTAAAGCATTAAACAAAACGTGTGGGTAGAGGTATGGTAAATTGGAATAAATTGTTTCAGACAGTACCTGGTTTGATTTTAAGCCGCGTAGGAAGAAACTATATCTTCGGGTGGGCGTGTTGATGTTGTATTTATTACCATTTTAGGAGATACAAATACTAACCGATTTACTGGCACCGAAAAAATAATAATCCGTTTGTTTTATCTATCAGCCTACGACATTTTGCCTTCAGAATTTAAGGAACCTCCAGTCAAAATTAATTAAGTTGACCTTTCTGATTTTTAAAATTTTTTTTTTTCAGGTTAGCTACAGCCAAAGTCAAACTTTCCCTTTGAAAAAAGATATACTGACCTGTTATATTTTTATCGCATCTCGTTAGTTACTGAAATCATCTATTACTTAAAAAACAAATTGGAGGATCTCCTTCAAGCGCTTTTTTGTAAAACCCTAATATCAATTCAATTTTGCTGCGTAATTCTCCAAATTGAAGAAATACCTACCCTCATTTGATTTGACCATAGATTTTCCGTTACACCTTGAATTTAAAGTCGGAAGAAAAATAACAGATCATTCGTTGAAAAGTAACCTTGTCATTGCTTTAGCATTTGCTTCTTTTTCTGTTTCAAATGGGGTCACTTTTTCAATATTGCTGTTTAGTTACATCATTATAAATTACCGTTGCTTAATACTATCGCGCACAACAAATCGATTATCTTTGCATAAGTTGAAAAAGGATTTTTTTTTGAGGTCGGCTTGCTTGCAAATTAGTTCACAACTTTTTATACTACCACGATCCAATGATCCTTATTTTTTGATTAGAGGTTATTTGTGCAGCCTGCCTATTGAAGTGTGTTTGCAAAATCTTTTAGCTGATTTGCACAAATTGAGGCGGAGATTGTCTTAACAATTTTTGAAGCTAAGTCTTAGTGTAATTAATGCGGGTAGATACATTTCCTTATTTTTCCTTGTTGCGTCATTGGTTTGTTAAGTAGTTCGAACACTTTTTTTGCTAATTTGACTGGAAGCATGAGCGAATGAGTGTAAAATTGAGACCTGAGCATAAATGACCGCGGATAAGTTTTCTTTGAATCTGTCATGTTTGTTGAACTTATTTTCTACGCCTTACCTAACGCCTTGTACATTAGTGTAGTATATTCTACCTGTGCTATAATTGTTTAACTTCCAACTGAGAGTAGAAACCAATAATAAAGCGGTAGTTACCATCATCAGTTATTTAGCTTCAAAATAAATGCGTTCATTTCATTGTGTAACATCACAATTGGCCACAACACGAATATGCATTGCTTGTTTAGTGGCGTATTTATCTCTTTTAAGTAGTCGTTTTATACTCTGTGTTGAGTTGTCATAGTATGACGTAAGCAGAGCACTGTTTCAAATTATCGCTTATCAAATTTATTTCTGCAGTGATCCTGCAACAGCTTCCTTATTGCACCAATATTACGTCACAAATGGTAAGTTGGCGTGAGAGTTTTGAGTCCCAGTTGTAATTTTATTATTTTTGCACTTTTTTCCAGTTATTGATGTCACTAGCAGGCTCTAAATTTGTGACCTGCGACGATTGAATCATTTTCGGTGTGTGATGACGAACTTTCTGGAGTTATTTTTTATTCCGGCAATATCGATCTCAAATGAAGCCAATGAAAATGAAAAGAAGCAAGAAGTTGGAAAACAGTCTCTAAAAATGAGTAGGAGCAGTAATAGTAGGGCTGACATAGTTATAAATTACACTGCCGGATGATGGTGATGACTTGACGTTTGAAATCTACCCTTCAACCTATTTTTGGCCTCCCCGTTAATCACAGCACCCCCTTTCGTCCCCTGCTTGAAATAGGAAGTTTTAACGTCTTTCGTTATTAGTTTTATTGTAGCGGCAAATACTTTTTCGATTAGCTTCAACTAAAATTCCGCCAATCAGCTTGTTCAGATCTTCCTGGAATTCATTGACCGTTAGGACAAATAGAACTGTCTGAAGAAATTGAAAAAGAGAGCACGAAGATTGTGTGATTGCGTGCGTAGTTAAATAGTGCGGTCGTGTGTACGGCTGGATTAGGAGCTGAAATAGATCAACACAGACTGGTGACGCAATTGGAGCAATCACTTTCAGATTGGACTGCATTGGATTCGATTGGTGAAGCTCTCTCTCTCTCTCTTTCTTCTGGTTAGTGGAATAAAAAAGCTAAGCAGAAAAGGAGAAAAGAAAGAAAAAGCACCGAGGTTGTGGCAGTTCAGGAAAAAAGAGAGAGAAGTAAAAGTGGACTTTATTCTTATTGAAATATAGGCAGATTAGTGGTTTAAACGTAGACACCGTTACCATTCGATACTACACTACGCTTGCGCTGTTGTGTGCTGATTACGTCACTGCTGGTGCTATTGCAGAAATGAATGAGTGAGTAGTGAGTGAATGAAGTATTTCCATTCCCTTCTTTCCTTCACTTCGCTCCGCTCTCAACCTCGAATAACCACCACTTATTGTTCTCCATATTGGTGACGTGACTCTGTGACGTAATAGCTTACTACCTTCCTTACCTTGCCTCTGCCTTCTTTCTTCTATCTACCTATCCTTCTGTGTACTTTGGCCAGAAACAAGTCTGAGATTGCAATTAAATCCCCACAAGCTAATTGCCTCGCTTCTTCTCCTTTTGGTCTTGACCACCATAATAAATACAGCTACTACCGTCAATTGGATCATTCGTTTCCTTCTTGTTTCTCCTCGTCCCAGGCAGAATCGTTTCGTCATCAGAAGGAGTTCCTCAAACCAATTATATCAACCATTTAATTCATTTCCACATTTAAAGAAGCCTTCTTCTCATTCACGCAAACCGCTTTTATAGTTTCATTCTACTCCATAATCGAGTCCATTTCATCTTGGATAAGGACGACAAAATTACAGGATGCCCATAAAGAGCTCTTTGTTTCCATAGTGACCTGTTGCTTAGACGCTTATTTCCAAACTGAAGGTTGAAAAAGAGTGCTTTAAAACTGCCTTTACCTATCTTGAGCACAAAGCAATTCGCTTCAAAGGGTGTCATTTGAAAGGACTAAATTCAATTGAAACTCTTTTAATTTGATCAATTATTTACCTTAGAAAGAGTTATGACGGGTGGAATTTTTATGCCTCAGCACTAGCAGTTGGAATTTAATTGTGTTTAATGCTGTTAAAAAACTTAATGGCTTCACCATCTTGTGTAGTAAATGTCCCTAAATCATCAACAGGGGCAGTCTACTCGATTGCCAACCCTTCAGTGGGTAAACCTACTGCGGCAATACCCGCCGGCGGTGCAAAAGCCTACATTAACGCTTCAGTGCGAATGACCTCTCCTGCGAGTAACAGCGGCAACTACTCGTCTTCGATGACATCATCAAGTAGTGCAGCGTCGTCGACCCGACAGAAAGGGTGCATTCAAGTTGGTTTTTACGACATCGACCGGACGATAGGAAAAGGAAATTTCGCCACCGTGAAACTTGCCAGGCACCGCGTGACTAAATCAAGAGTCGCTTTGAAAATTATCAACAAGAAACAGCTAGACGAAAGTGACTTAGCCAAAACGTACCGAGAAATTAACATTCTGAAGAAACTTAACCATGTAAACATAGTGAGATTGTATCAAGTTATGGTGTCGAACAACATGCTTTATTTGGTGACGGAGCACGCGGCTAACGGTGAGCTGTTTGAGTTCTTAGCTGAGCATGGTAGAATGGAGGAACCGGAAGCGCAAAGAATTTTCTGGCAGATTGTTCTTGCGGTGGAGTACTGCCATCAACAAGGCGTGGTCCATAGAGATCTAAAGGTAGAGAATCTTCTGTTTGACAGCTTCTGGGACATCAAAATAGCTGATTTTGGATTCTCAAACACGTACGTGCCTGGAAAACTTTTGGACACGTGGTGTGGCAGTCCGCCTTACGCAGCGCCGGAAATTTTCCAGGGTCTGAACTACAATGGGGAGAAGTTGGACATTTGGAGCATGGGAGTTATTCTGTACGTCTTAGTGTGTGGTTGTTTACCGTTTGACGGCGACTCACTACAGGAACTGAGAAGTCGAGTACTTTCAGGGCGCTACCGCATTCCCTACTTCCTGAGTCGGAATTGTGAATCGTTGATTCAAAGGATTTTGGTTCTTGATCCAGTCAAAAGGTATACAGTTCAGCAAATAAAACAGCATATCTGGATGAAACGGGATTCGGAGTATGATATATACAATGGATGTGGTGCTACTTCAACTAGAGGTGGGGATCTTTTACCTCTAAATGAAAATGTTCTTCAAGCTATGAATAGACTTGGTCTTGACCAGGAGAAAACCAATACATCAGTTGTGGAACAAAAATACGATCATTTTCACGCAATATATCACTTGCTACTGGAGAAAGTCGAGACTTCTGGCCCGATTTCTCTGAATGTAAAACAACCTTCACAAATGCCAAACTTAAGCTCTTCATCCGATTCGGTTTCTGTCTGCTCAAGCATATCTCTGGACCAGAAAAGTGCAGAATCTACTACAGACAAGGGACTCCTTCGCCAGAAATCTTGCAGTCCGAAAGGGTCTATTGGGACACCTTCCATTGATGAAGGCTTCTCGTCAGACGTCTCGTTCGACGCTGATCAGTCTCTGGGAAAAGAAGCATCAATGGAGCAGATGACTCCGATCAAAGAAGATCCGGAAGCAGAACATTTACGACTTAATTCGACTACGGGATCCTCAGTTGCAAGTACTCCGAGGAACTCAGCAAACAACACTGCTGCATCACAATTAGACTTTGAAATATCATGGCAATCTCATCACTTCTCACACTTGAAAATTCCTAATCATGTATCTCCCCCGTCAATGATCATAACCACCGACAATAATCTTAATCAAGCTCAGGTTGCAACTGCAACAGTCTCAACCGGCAGTTCATCGGGAGCATATACCTCTTTATCATCATCAACAGCTGTCACAACTGGAGGACAGACAACGCATTTCCACAACTCATATGACGAAGTATCAGGCGAGAAGATGCTAGTCAACCTGGGTGGACATTCAAATTTCAGCAGCCTGGAATCGCAGTGCTCAGAATACTCCTCGAACATATCTTTGGACACAAGTCAACAACAGCTGCATAACTCGACAGGAGGAACCGGCAACAGATTTACGCAGTCTACATCTCTATCGCCGCAGGTGTGTGTCGCGAGACCCCCCTTGGTACATCAACAAAGAATTGGCGACTGCTTCTCGAGTACGAATGCGGCCAATAATGCGACTGTCGGGTTCCTAGCTTGTGGACGACGCGCCTCGGAAAGCAACCTGAATGAGCAAGATCAGGAGGAACTGGAGCCCAACCCTAAAAATATGAAACACCAGGTGCAACCATACACAATACAGACATTGTCTCATTTTGAAGCGACAGCTGTAGCTGACAAAAAGCCAACAGATGCCAAATACTTGACTCCAAATGCTAAACTGATGGTGTCTAGCTCGCCTGCCAACAGCAATACTTTAAACGTGGCAATTGTAAACAGTGCTCCTGGCAGTCCTTCTGTGCAAGCTAAGCGACTGATTAAACAACAGCCGATGAACCCGAAACTGGGCAACGGTGATTTGGGTCTCAAAAGTAGAATGAGGCACCCAATCAATCTTGCCGGCCACAGTCCTCCCTTGTTACAGCAGCCAGTGGGCGGCCACTCTCCTACTCAGTTTCTCTCACCTCTCGCAATCTCAAATGAAAACTTTAACAAGCCATCGCAATATCACATGTCAAACTCGCAACAGCAAATACAGCTACAACATCAAGCTCAATATCAGAACCAAATTTTGCAGTCTCAGTCCGGCCAAGGTCAACTTGGACATCCTCTGAATTCTGGTCAAGCGCTGTTACCGTCCGGAGGAACTGCGGCGACTGGAGGTTATACATTTATTGGGACGCCAAGATTTGCGCTGTTGCCGAAACCTCGTAGCTTTGATGAAACGCAATCACACCGAAGGTCGGAAGGCATGACTTCGTCTAGCGGCAATGTAACTGGAAGCGGATTGTCTCTAGCTGCCAGTGACGCTTGCAGGAGGCAGCATAGTTTTGATACACCATCCAAATTACATAATCAGAGCAGTAACGAAGAACCAACAGCGGGTGATGAGTTTTGTCCAACTCTAACGAACGCTGCTTTGCTGGCCACGTCATCCTGTGCTGCAGTAAAGGAACGAATGTTGAAGAATCAGAGACGTCTTTATTCTAGTAGCCCGTACGCAGTTAAACAGCCAGCAGCGAATCAACCGCGATCACCCTCCGCGAGAGCCTTTCCTAGAAGAGACAATTTTCAGAGGCAGTTGACACTTAGGCCGCAGAAAATGTTGGAGCGCCAGTCAAGTAAGTGCAGCAGTTCTCCACCTAGAGTTCCACTAGCACATCATTCGAGTTTGGACAACGAGTACTCGACTGCGAATCAAACAATGGAAGGCGTTTTGAGCCAGTCTTTAGCTTTATCGCCAGGTGTGAGTTCTTCGAATGTCGGCAATTCCGAGATCACGTGCATGTTGCAGCAGATGGAATTGCGAAACTCGATTAACTCGCCGCTCCCGGCTGCGGAGTCGAGAAACAACCCGAGTCCTGTCGAGCCACATTTGGTTACAAATGCACCACAAAGGTTTCAAGGTGTGCCAAATAATTCACCGACCCCAGTGTATAGGTACCCACATAACAATGCTGCTAGCGCTCCTAGGCACCAAGTGTCCTCGCCCATACCGAGCATCTCATTCGAAAGTGCAGATGGGATTGTTTGCTACTTGAACAGTGCAAATGTAAGGCCTAGATCGCCGACAAACTTAGCAGCGTCACCTTCCACTCATAGTCTCGGAAGCACAGACGACCGGGTGGCTTCGCCGTCATTACAAAATCAACTTGCTCAGCAGTTATATCAGCAGTCATTAAGTGGTGTATCTTTACAGCAGATAACACGTGATCAACTTCTGTCACAGTTCTCTCAGAGTCAACCGAACCCATCTGTAAGTACGATAGCCGATCATGGAGCAGTTAAATCATCTTGCAATGTCGCAGATGGTACTTATTTGAACTTGAGAATTGATTCACAAACAACCCAAAGTTCTGAAGGTCTCAAGCAAGACCAGTTATCGGAAGTTCCTATCGAGTTCATGCAGCAGATGAACTACGTGGCAGTTGCTACAGCTAATGTAACATTGGAAACAAGAACAATGACATCGCGACGAAATTCAGACGAGGCATCGCAAAACAGCTCACCTATGGATCAAGAGTAGACTTCAAACTTTCTGAAAAGTTAATCGAAACTTTTGTTTATATGATTTTCAGTTACATTTTAAAACCTTGCAAATCCACTTAGCTCTCACTTTGTCGAAATCTATGAGGTTAACTAATCAATTCTGAATTGACGGATTTCTTATCCGTCAGCAAAATACGGTTCTTTATAGTTCAATGTGTTGGCGTCAAAGCTCTGAGAGTGGTATTTGGTGGCATGATTATAAACAAAAGATCTAATGTGTCTTGCAGACTTGTTTTATTTTTTGGCGATTTTTTTTTACCGACGATGTCATAAACTACTAAAAACTTGGTGCGGCTTCATTTTTTCTAATTCAGCTGGTCTGTATTGTATTTATTGAGCCGTACCGTAAAACTAATGATAGAGCTGGTAGAATTGAAAATGTGCTTTTTGATTATTTTGAATTGTCAATCCGATGCTAACATGTGCCATTTAGCTCAACTTTCAATAGAAGATCAAGCGTATCATTGCAATGTACAATTGATAGTCCTATCACACTAATTTTGGATCTCCTCAGCTCTTTCTCACTATTGCTAAAGGGACAAATTGTTAAAGATACCAAGTTTGCATCTGCTTAACAGTTAAAGTGCTCATTTGTAGTTGTAGTTTTTTTTCAAATACCATTAGGGCGAATAGTTGAAGAGATCCGTATTTTTTATCAAATATTTCAAATCGAAGCTCTGAAACAGAGCGGCTCATTTGTAGAATTTTTGAACTTGGGGGCTACAACAGCAGTGACGTGTTAACTAAGTCGCCATTGAGATCCTTGAGTTTCAATTTAGTTCATCTGGGCTTGCTGTGTAGTTTATAACAAGTCTTGTTCTCTCTCTCTCTCATTTATAACTTCAAAAAGAGCAGCTATAAAAATGATTCTATCTTCCTCTTCCCTCAATTTAGAACAAATTTAATTCGCAATCAGATATATATTTTTCTTTGATAGCAATCGTATTTTAACAGTATAGAGTATCTAGTTTTGGTATGTGATGATCATACCAGACACACTGCTGTCTATTGTATGCCATTACGATGAAGTTAATTATAGAATGAGCGAAATTGTTGATGAGTTATTATTTGTTTTTTAGTGTTAATAGAGTTACCTTCAACTTGCCATTCAACAAAATGTATATTCAATTCTGTTTTTTTTTTGAGATAGACTAAAGCGGGTTCTATTGGTGTATGTAAATGAAGAAAAAAGGAAGAAAACTTAAATGAAGAGTTGGAAATGTAAAACTATTTACTTTAAAACAGAGCTGAGAGTCAATAATTGCGACTTAAAATAGAGCGATAATGTTTTCGGCAATTTATCCTTGCTTATTTCGAAAAAGTTATGAATTTTCGGCTATGAAATTTGTTTTTCCTAGCATGGCTTTATCGATAAAAAATCTGCTGATACATATTGATCGAAATTATATAAAATAATGTCCCGTTGTGTGAGAACCACAAAAGGTTTCGCCAGTTGTTTTTTTTTTTCGTGCAAAAAAGACAATAAAAAACGGAAATTTTAAAACAAGAAAATTTGCTGAGACACGTCAAAAGTATATATAAAAATAACAAAACTTTCTTGTTGCTGTATAAGAAGCATAAATGGTTTTGCCAAATTTTTTGGCAAAGTTTTAAAAAAATTCATCTGATGAAAGTTTCGTAAATAGCACTCTCCAAATACGAACGTGGAAAAGTCGCCAAAAAACGTGAACAATTTCTAGTTTCAAAAAAGGAATTTAATTTAAGATTTCCAGCGGAATAAAAACTCAAATTGGGTTAATTTTACCAAAAAGCCCCAATCATTAATTGTTCTAGAAATTCAGAGAGCTCTAAGGATATCTATTTTTTTTTTGAAATTTCGAAAATTGAAATTTTTTTTTCTGTTTACTTGCGTTCATTATTTTCCAACTGTCAGTTGGCTATGTGCTTAATTTGTGAAAATCTTGAATTTATCGCCGAAATTAGTAATTTTGTGGTTTGAATTCTGCTTTCTTTACGCTAGCGAGCGGCTAGTCTATTAGTACGAACCTTCTTTTTTGAACTCCTAACCTAACTAGCAAATAAAAGTGTTCACTTGTGTGCCTATTTGCTATAATCACGATGTGTAGCATAGGAAATTTCATAGCATCTGTTCTCTTCTTCATTTTTTGGCTAGTTTCTGTGGTGGACTAAGCGTCTGTGGCTGAGTGTTTAGGCTTTTTTTTTCTCATCGCACTTTTAGAACTCTAGAGCTGATTTTTGTGTTATCGTTAGTGCTTGCGAAGCTCCGCCTCTGTGTTTAAAGGTTGTTTTAAATTCATTCGCTAATTAGAACAAAAAGTACGCTTTATATAAAAAAAACTAAATGGTGCTTTAAAACGTATTTAACGTCAAGTTTCAAAAGTGGTTTTCATATTGGACTTTTATGAAATTTCAATTTAGAAGATTTTAAGTTCGAAGTGTTGTAAAATGATATATTTTCAGTAAAAAAGCACTCGATTTCGTTCCTCTTGAGCTCATTTAAACAGTCCTTGATCCAAGCTCATTGTTTTTTTTTTAATTTGTTCCGTTGTTTTCGTGTATGGATTTTTTGAAATAAAACTTGGAACAAATTTATAATAGACGCTTTAACGAATCAGAAAAAAAAGTAAAACGAAGTAAATGTGAACATTTGAATCTGAGTTTTTTCGACAACGAGAGTTTTGGGTACGGTGCAAGTTTGATTGAATCCTTGTCCTTAAAATTGTGAATTGGTTTAACCTCACGCGACGTGTCTTTGTGGCGCCCAATTTGGCGTGGAAAAAACGACAGAAGCCTTACTACCTACCTATTTCAGGTTCCGAGCAGATGACGTTCGTATTTTGCAAGGTTGCTAATTTAACTATTTTTGCAAAACTCAAATAGCTAATCTGTTTTGTTCCGTTTTCAGCGAATTTTCTGATTACCCTCAGAGAACAAGTGTCCTTTTTTGACTCAAAAGTTTGTTCAAGAATAGTTTTCCACAAGAGCGTTGCGAGCGTATGATTATATTTTTCCGAAAGTTAAGAAGTAAAAACAAAATTAATAAAGTTTTTTTGTTTTATCTTTATTTTTGTTTGAAATTTAAGGTTATTCAAGTTTATATGCATTGCAGGAAAAGTTCTGCTTTCCTGATTTACGCAGTTAAATTGAACGCAAAGTTTTTATATAATCAAACATGATCCAAAGTTGGCTAAGGTTACAAATGTTTGGGGGAAACATCAGAAAAGAAAATTGAAAACTGATTTGCTTGCCTTAGCTGGAAATAACCAGACGTGATTGAAATTTGTCTAGGGCGATTAATGCTTGGAGTAAACACCAGAATTCATAACTAAAAGTTGATTTGTCTATCTTGGCTGAACAAATATTTTTGAAATATTTCATGGGATCTCTTAAATTCAAGCAGCCGTAGAAGTCACACTGTATTTGCAAGATGTATTCAAAAGACCCCGAAAAGCTGTCGATTGCAGATAAAGAGCAACCCACGAAATTCCAGGTCTGACTACCCAACAAGAAAAAAGAGATTTTTGTACAAAAACGTCTCTTTACGCTTGTGATAAGCAAGCTTTACCAAATCGGAAAATGAATTATTTTTGGTTAACAGTTTGCTTAACAAAACCAGTGGAATCTTGCGATAGCTTGGCTTATAAAACAATAATTATTTTTAGCGTCTCTGGTACACTTGGTGAAAAGATACCTGATTTTAAGAGGAAATTTTCCGTTTCGAAAAAATTGTCGGACGAAAGTGTGTCTGCTTATATTTTTCAGCTTAGCCGATTATATTACTTTCATTTGCGGTAGCTACAAGTTGTTTTGATTTATTTATTTGGTAATTTCTGACCCTGTATATATTTTGTTGTTCCGACCATTTGAAAAATATGGAGGGACTTAGTATTCGGGTTTGTTTTCGTGTTTGTTCCGACCATTGAAAATGGGACGAACTTAGTATTCGAGTGTGTTTTTCACGCAATGTCATGTACCACAAATAATGATCGGACTGGATTGAGTGATATATCATATTAAAGCCCTTTCAGTCGTGATTCGAACAACATCAAAAAAGTCCCAGTTTCGAGAAAAACCGGTTTGAAATTTTCGATTTTTCGTCTAATTTCGAGCGAGTGAGCAGGCTTACATTAGCTTATTTAGGCTTAATTTAAGCCTTGAAAATTTAATTTTACTCCTATGAAGTTAGTTTTTGGAGTTTTTAGTTTCATCTTAGGAATGAAAATTTTCAAAAGTTTGGGAAAAATTTTTGAAAAATTATAAGAAAAAGTTTAAATTTTTTTTGTTTTTCTTGTTATTTGTCTTCAAATTTTTTTTCCAATTTGCAAATTTTACAATAAGTATTTTAAAATAAAAACGCCTAAGCTCTATAAAAATTTGCAGATTTTACAATAAAAATGCTTAAGCTCTACTTTTTTGCTCAGATTCCTTCACCACACCAAGCCGAAAAACTACACTAATTGGAAAAATAATTTTATTGTGACTTTTTAAGACTGATCGGAACATTCTGTGCTACTTGCACAGTAACCGGCTATCCTTGTTTTCTTTTTGAATTCCACGCAAACTGAGGTATCAAAAATAATTGTGAGTCGAGCAATAATAAATTTGAAGACCTTCACTCTTGATTCGAACGACGTAAAAAATTTCTTAAAGTTTTTTCATTATTGAGAAAAACTAGTTTTTTTTCCTTCAATTTTAAACGAATAAAGCGAGCAAGCAGGCTTACAACAGCCTAATTATGCTTAATTTAAGCCCTGATTTTTTAGTTTAGAGCAAGTTAATTAGTTAAAGTTTTTAGCGCCATTTTTGGAACTAAAAACAAAAAAATTCAATAAGTTTTCTAAAAAAAAAAATTTGAAAAAGTTTTTTGAACGTTTTTGAAAACGTTTTCGAGTTTTTCTTCCTCTATTCATTTTTCTTCCAAAAATTTTGCCAAGTTTGTCTGTATTACTATACTTTTCGAAGATGCTTAAATTATAGTTTTTCGTCAGATTCTTTTTATCACACCACGCAGAAAAACACTAATTTGAAAAAAAAAAATTGTAAATTTTTAAGGACTCAGGTCGAATTATTCTGTGCTACTTGCTCAGTTACCGGCTGTCCTTGTTTTTTTTTGTTTTTTTTTAAAGAGTAGTGAACGTTTTTGCTGGTAAGATCTATTCGGCCGTAAATGTTTTGGACATGATTTGCATTGGCTTAATGACCTAACTTTGGGTCGTTTGAAGGGATGCATATTTTTATTGCCCTCCCCCTCTGGAAGCACAACCCCCACCCCCTCTGGAAACACAGCCCCCACCCCCTCCTCTTCTGTCTGTGATTGTGTTTATTGCCCATTTTTCATCTTCATTGAAGCAATAACCTAATGTCAATTTAAAAAAAAAAGCCTAAGTAAAAAATGACCAAGTGGTCACCCAGTAAATGAATTGAGCTCTTCCTGATTTATTTCGTGGAAATGTCGATAGCAAGAAGTGCTGTCATACCATTGAAGCATGTGTAGGGTATTCTACGCAAATGCTTTTTTTTCTCTTAATGGCTAGGTGCTTCCTTACATTTCAAAATACACAAAGGAATGGTTTTTGAGTCAGAGTCCTGTGAGTCATCCCCGATGAAAATTATCTGGAAATATATGAAAGATACGGTTGAAAAGAAGACTCCGAACTCAAACACAGAACTGGATTGAACAATATAAGTGGCTGCTGGCAAAATTTTTTGAAGTTTTTAGCAGAAAATATCGAGTTTTTTGCCAAAGCGTTTCAATCTGGTAATTTCTTAAAGTATTGAGCTTCATGACTGTGTTGTCTGCTAAGAACTTTTTCTAAATGATTTGGTTCATTATTTTTTGATAAGCTAGATGTGTTCAATATAAAAAGTGAACTTAGTCTCATTTTTCATGACGCGGATAAATTCAGAGGATAATTTTGTTTCGAGGTTAAATTGAAAATTTTGTAAAATTGACATAACGTGAAATGGAAAGAAGAAGCTTTAATACCTCAGTAATTTAATTGGCATTTTTCCTTTTCCCACCCACCTGCGAGTGCTTACAACAATTATTTTCGCACTTTCTGATTGTGATCAAAAATGACTTGCGGACTAATTAGGCCATGAAAAACTGTTTTAGTCTTCATATTTAACCTTGTAATCCCGCTTGT